GAAAAGAACTATTTTACAATTTATCGAGTGGCATTATTTTACATTATTTGCAAAACTAATGTTTAACCCAGTAGAAGACAGTTACATTCTTACAGCTGCTTCTGACATGGGTCACATACCAGGTAGACTTTTAGAAACTGTACTATATACTTGTAAGGTAGTAAGAGTGGGAAAACATATAATATCTTAATATTCTGGACCCTTATGGGGTTTATGGATCCCACTTTAGATTCTTGTGACATCTCTGGGGGTCAGTAGATCAGTCTGAGAGCTACTGGATTAGATAGTATCAGGCCATTTTTTCATTTTTGCAGCTTCATTTGACAAATTAAGAGTTCCAATAGAAATATTTTCTGTATCTTAGTTTCAAACCTTAAAACTTGATAGTAGTGATCAAGATCACAAAGTACAAGTTTCCTATGTTAGTAATGGCCACTGACCTTTGGCAAATTACAACATCTTTTTATATTTTAGCTTCCTTATCTATAAAATAAAAATAATAGACAGGACTTATTATATATTATGAAGATTAATTAAATGTAAAAACTTTTCTAAGACCCTGGAAAATAGAGTGCTTAGTAAACACTTAAGTACTTTACTGAAAAACTTTAAGTGGTTTAAGTGGTTTAATACACCCTAGCCACAAGGAATTTTCAGAGAAGAAATACATAACACCCAATACAACAGGGTAGCCTAGCCTATACTATACTATCATAGTGTTCATTATTACTAGCTGCTGACACTTTTTCCCTATCTAATATACTGTAGTTCAAAAAGTTGACAGAAAAAAAGTAATATGAAATGAGAAAAGCAATATTAGATATGCATGTCTCCTTGCCAATCTTGGTTCCTAATAATCAATAACAATTACATTTGCAGTAAAATCCATCATAAACCACTTAATGACATTCCTATAAGCCTCTCTGGAATTCCAGACAATAGCCTGATAATAACAAAAGATTCTCCTGAAGGAGTCTTTAGGACTTACGTAGTTTAAAATTCCATTATCATGTACTACCAAAATAAAGAGAAAATTGTCAAGATTCATGCCATTAACTAATCTGTCAAGTATTAAAACAATTAATCTTTATTATAGAGCAGAGTAGCTTTCATTTGAAAAGCTAAATAAAAATCACATGACTATATAATCTACATTTGACATATTCTATGTACTATACTAACAGCAAATAAATTAATAGCTTTAACAAAAAAATCTTTAACTCAAAAAGGAAAAAAGAAAGTGTAACATGTAGGTAAATGCTTTTTTTAGTGAAATGGTTAAGCCTCTAAATTACTAGTTCCCCTATCTAAACTCCAGCATCTGGAATAAGTATACTATGTTATTACTAAACTATTAATTGCAGGAGGAGAAAATATGTATTTTACCAAAACAAAAAAATATAGGCAATTAGCTTTGGCTGCTATTACATTTAACTATTGTTCTATCACCAAATATTTCTGAGTATCTACCGTGAAACTGGTTCTATGCTAGGCAACAGGGGCTCAATGAACATAAAAAGATGATAATTTTTATCTTATAGAACTTGTATTCTGTTCTGCCTTGGAAAACAGACAAAACACACAAAATATTATAAATGTGATAAATGCTATTAGGGGAAGCAAAGAAGGCTATGCCAAAGAGTACATACAGTCTTTAAAAGCTGAATTGTGAATTCAAACAAACCTAAAAATAAATAATTCATAGCAAGTTGCATCAATGTAACATAGATTCTACAGATCTTCACTAATGCATAAGAAAACTACAGACACTGACCATGAAGACAGAAATCAATTTTTCGGTGTCAAAACTACTGGATGGCATTACTTAGCAATATGATGACCTCAAAAGATAATTAACCTCATAGTTCTAAAGAGTTTCAAAAAGCATGCAAACGTAACCTTAAAGTGAGCAAGTGAAACCTGACATATAGCAACTTAATGCAATGTGGTATCTTAAAAGGGAAGCTGAAGCAGAAAGAGTATTGAGTTTAAAAGAAAACAAACTAAGTAAATCCAAATAAACAATGAATTTTAGTTACTAATAAATCAATATTGAGCCAAGAATTTTAACAAATGTACCTTACTAAGGTTCAGGGTGCAGAATGCATAGGTATCTTCTGTACTATCTTATCAATTATCTGTAAATCTAACTGTGCTAACATATAGAAACACACATACACACACAGCTAAAACTAACAAGGCATTATTTATATTTAGTAGCCACTTGGGAAGGCTGGAAATTTGTAGAATAGTTAGTTGATAAGTTATCAAAAGAAAGAAATGACAGAAAATGAGAGGCTGATGCAATAAGATCTCATACCTTTGGGATACACACAAAGACTGTCTCTCTCTGTACACACACACACACACACACACAAATATGAAAAAGCTGTATTGACACACGCCTTTAATACCAGCACTTGGGAGGCAGAGGCAGGCGGTTCTCTGTGAGTTTGAGGCCAGCCTGGTCTACAGAGAGTTCCAGGACAGCCTCCACAACAATACAGAGAAACCCTGTCTCAAAAAAAAAAAAAAAAAAAAAAAAAAAGAACAAACAAACAAACAAAAAACCCAGCTGTATCGAAACACATTAGTTTGCCAACTTAAAAAAATTAGTTTACAAATGGCTGAAGATACAGCTTAGTTTGTATAGTGCCCATCTAGCACCACATAAAACCAAACAGTGGCAAATACCTGTAACCCAGCACTTGGGTAGAGGCAGGAACATCAGATATTCAAGGCAGTCTTGTCTATACAAAGTTCATGACCAGCCTCATTACACAAGACTGCCTAAAAAAGAAATTAATCTCAAAACAAAAAAAATGAAAATAAAAAGGGTACAGTGTATCACCCCTGAAATCCCAGCACTCAGAAGTCGAGGCAGGACTCCAAATTTGAGGCCAGCCTGGGCTACCACAGAACGTAACTCTACCCCCCCAAAAAAAAAGCAATGAAAAAGCAATTAGAAGTCATAAAGCTAATATTTACAACGTAAAGACTCAAGAAATTCAAAGGAAACTGGCACATAATTACAAGTTAAGATCTCTCCTCATACTAAAAACTTCAATAGAAAGATTAATGGATTTTGTGCAAACTAAGCAGTCCTATACACAATATGAGGCAGAAAACCATCTCCCTAGACTGCATAATAAGTACATCCAAACCTATTTATTAATAATGACCAATGAACTTTATTTTATGAATGGGACTGTCTTCAAACTGCCATGTAACACTAACTAGATCAGGATCAACTTCACAGGTTTCCCCGAGTTACTCATCTAAGGAAATGTGTTTTTTATTTAAAAAAAATTTTATTACTACATTGATTTTTTTGTAGGTGGGTGTTCATGGAGATCAGAGGACAACTTTTGAGAGTTGGCTCTCCCCTTCTTTGAATTTAGGTTGTTAAGTGTGGTGGTGGTGAGAACCTATTTTACTCACTGAGCCACCTTGCTGGCCTGGAAATGTATATACTTAAATATTCATAAGCAAACAGGAGGGAGACATGATCTTTCCATTCTACAAGGTTGTAAGGAAGACAAATCTAAATACACCAGAAAATTATTTCCCATGTCTAGCTGAAGGCAAAATTAAACCAATGTCAACTTGATATAATGTTCCAAATTGGTATAAAATGGTTCAAGCTAATAATAAACCTAAAATATGGAGGGGAAAAAGGAAGCTTATAATCTGAATTATTGTTCAGTTTGTATAATACAGAATAATAAAGCTGTTGGCACATGTAATCTTAATGACAACCATCACAAAATTAGGACCTTGTATCTAATAGGAAGAACCTTGACCAGGTAAATGACATTACAATTTCACTCACAAGACCCTATGAAATATTAGGCATAAGATAATCAGTGAGCTCAAATGCTATTCAAATCTAATTTAGGGAGCTAGATGATGGCTCTATTACTACCCTATTGCCCAAAGGCAATCCTACAAAACAAAGATGTTCATTATTTTAATCCTTTTCTCACATGCATCTTAAATATGTAAATCGGAAAATACGTAAGAAAAAAATTGAATGATTAACATTTCACCCGTTAATCCCTGCTTGCATCATAGATATTCAAATGATGTTTCATGTTGAAATGAGAAAAAATGGAAGTGAGGTGAGAAAAATTCGAAGTACAGTACACTGATCATGACATAGCATCTGGCAGAGATCGAAAAGACATCAACACTGCCAAGAGAATTGTCAATGATGAAAATCAAAAGAAAATAAGGTTTTCCAACCAGTCCCAACCCAAGGGACAAAAATCGTCACTGCCAATGCCACCTCTTTTCAAGTCGCCTCGAGTTGAATACATTAACTCTCTAACCCTAATTTTTCATTTAGGTGAAAACTGGGCGAGAATTGTTTTTTCTACGACCACCGCTTCCCACCTTCCGGGAGACCTGTACAACTCGGAGCCAAGCCTCAGGGGAAAACAACGCCCAAATCCCACCCTCCTTCCATCAGCCAAGGTTGAAGAGGGGCCTGTTCCCAGGAGTGGGGGGCTTCCCGGAGTGGACCTCACTCCCGGTTCCAGTGGGAACCGGAAAAAGGACAAGGAATAAGGGTGGGGCCCCAGAAAGCCCGCAGGGGTGAAGGAGACCACGGAGAGCCGAGGAAGAAAGGGATGGACAGGAGGCTGGGCGGGGTGAGGACTGGGGAGGACGGAAAGGAGCGAGAGAGCCTGGCTGCGGGCGGCCGTGTCGGGACGGCGACCAGGGGTATAAACTAAAAGCCCGATAGACGACAGAGGGGAGGAGTTGGGGGCGAGGAGGAGCTGGGGGAGAGCAGCAGCCAGAGGACCCCGGGGAAGAGCTGGAGTGGGGGAGCAAGGTCGGCGGGGGGCCCCAGTGGCCAGGAGGGCCGCACTGGGGGCGGTGCGGGGCAGCCGCGGCCCGCTGCCAGGAGCGGGGGAGCCGCGCACTCACCGCTCTGCTCCCCCAGGAACACCAGCTTGAATTTCCTCAGCGGATTCCCGAAGTCTCCGCCCGCGGACATGATGGAGCCGGAGGAGCCGCCGCCGCCGCCTCAGCCCACAGACCTCTCCCAGACCGCTGCAGCTCTAACCGGCTGACGAAGAGGGCCGAGCGGAAGGGCAGCCGCCGAGTTCTCTCGGCCCCTGCAGGGCCAGGCGAAGGGGCGAGGCTGAAGGGAGCGGGAGTCGCCACCGACCGGCGGCCGCCGCCGCCGCCTCCCCGCAGAGTCGCCTAGCACCGTGCGAGGCCCGCGGCCGCGAAGGGACGCAGGGCGGTGTCGGAGGCAGCCAGGGGTGCGCTCGGGCTTCGCTAGCCTAGCGCCGTTCCTTCCCTCAGAACGCGGCGCGGAGACTGAGGCGAGAGAGGAGGAGGGTGGCGGGGCGAGCGCCGCAGACGCGTCTGGAACCTAGCACGCGCAGCGCTCGGGCTCCCACAGCAGCCGCCACCACCGCAACCCAACCCGCCGAGTGCGCGAGCCTCTGGCGCGGTGCGGGGCGAGTCCGGGCGCGAGCCTGCCGCCCCGCCGGTCTCGGGTGTGTGTGCGTGCGTGCGTGCGCGTCACCGCCAGCGCCTTCCTGGCTTCCCCAGCTCTCCCGGCTCCTCCCGTGCGGCGGAGAAAGGGGCCGCTTAGGTTTCGACCAGCGCTGGAGAAGCCAGGAGGAGGCGGAACCGAGTTCCGGGTAAGTGAGGGGAGTGGGGCGAGGGAATGCTTACGTCACTGTCAAGATGAGCCAATCAGAAAAAGCAGAGAGCAGGCAGACGCGGAGTGAGGTGGCGGCGCGAGCGCGCGCACGACCTTTGCGCGGGGGGAAGGGGGGGGAGGGAGAGAAGGGGGGCTTAGGGCCCAGGCGGCCATCGGAAGTGTGGCGCGCGATTGGAGGAGGGAGGAGGGAAAAGAAGGTGGGACGGAGGCGGAGCCGGAACCAAGGTGGAATGACCGCAGCAATGCGTGGGTGGGGTTGGGTTGTGCAAAGGTGTACGGTAGGTGATTAAAAAAACCTTTAACGTTGCTTCGCCTTCCTCAATTCTGCCTTTCACCCACTTGCTGTATCTTTCTAAACGTAATTCCTTGCTCGGCTTCTTCCTACACACATTTTCCTCTGTTGTTGCGTGGAGTTTCGTAACTACCAGAAGCAGGTCTTCTCCATTTTGTGGGTGAGGAAACTGGAGCCCAGCAGGAGGAAATGACTTGCAAAATCCACATAGCCATGAAACGAAATCCAGGTTTTCTTACTTGAACTTCTGCTACCTTTTTATTGTTAAGCCATCTGATTCCCTGGTGTCTGTTGGCTTGATTCTCCGTGAGTTGGCTCTTGTTCAAAGGTATCCATAACATCAGATGATGATCATCTTCTATTTGATAGAAATGGGTTTAGATGTCATATAAATCGAACCCCTCATATTACAGATAAGAAACGACTGCCCACATAGGGATGCCCCTTTGGAAAAGACCACACAACATAGTAGAGGAGAGCCTCAACAAGATCTCAACTTGGGGAAGGAATGTTGACAGATCCTGTCTCCTGGAAAGCAGAGCCTCTGGATATGCTTGCATGGGCCTCCCTTAAATTAGCCATTCGAAGCATTTCCATTTTTCTACGGAATTGTGAACCTGCTTCATGATCCAATAAGGTAATGGTGAATGCCATAAGAAAACATGAACCAAGTAAGCATAATGTGGACAATTACACAATGAATATAGTTAAATGTAAGTTTTCATCTAAATGGGATCACTGAAAACAGTATCAGACAACTAAAATAAATTAAATAAAACATGAATTTTAGTTAATAATGGTATTTTGATACTGATTCATTTATTATAACAAGAATATCCTATTAATATAAGCTGTTAATAGAGGATCCTGGAGTATATGGGAACTTTTAGATTGGCCTTTGTAAATCTAGTGCCTCACATCTGTAATTCCAGCACTCAGGAAACTAAGGCAGGAGGATTCTTGTCAGGTCCAGTCAAGCATGGGCTACAGAGCGAATTCCAGCTAAGTCTAAGATACAGAGTGAGATCCTGCCTCAAAACAAAACGAGAGATGGGGATATGGGTCAGTAGTAGAGTGATTTTTCTAGCCCTAAATCTACTCTTTAGGACTCCTAAAAAACTCCAATAGCCAGGCACATTGGTGCATTCCCATAATCATAGCACTTGGGAGTAAAAGTAGGAGGATCATAAGTTCAAGGCGAGCAGGTACTACATACCAAAAGTTTGGCTGCATGAAACTTTGTATCAAAGGAGAGAAGAAAGTTATAAATAAAATCGATACATAGATTATTTTAAAAGTTAAGAACCATTGAATTAGAGAATCTGTCATCTGCATGAATTCAGCCATTCATCAACATCCTGTGGTACCACCGACCAGCAAGGTCTGAATTTTGCATCTTCTATTTTATATATTTATTCTTGGGATTTTTTTTTTTTGGTTTTTCGAGACAGGGTTTCTCTGTATTGTTTTGGAGGCTGTCCTGGAACTCACTTTGCAGACCAGGCTGGCCTCGAACTCACAGAGATCCACCTGCCTCTGCCTCCCGAGTGCTGGGATTAAAGGCGTGCGCCACCAACGCCCGGCTTATTCTTGGGATTTTTAAGAGGGTCTTACTATGCACCCCAGGCTGTTCTGGAACTGCAGTTCTCCTGCTTCAATCTCTTGGACCTAGGACTACAGAAATACATCCCATGACTAGCTAGTACTGCCCCATTTTAAAGGGTTCCCTCAACGACACTTTACTTTCTACATACACTTCCCTGTACCTCAAATGCCTTGTACCTTCCTCTAGTCATAATAATCATTCAGCCATCACTTATAAAAGCTGGATGGTTTAAACATCAAACATTTAGTTTTCAGATAGATTTGGAGACTGGGAAACCCAAGGTCATAGTGCCAAAAGATTCAACATCTTTTGGTGAGTGTTGGTTTTGGTTCATAGATAATTATCTTTTTATTGTGTCTTTGTATGGCAGAGAGAGAGCCAGGGAGCTCTCCAGGGTCTCTTTTATAAGGACACTAATCCCTTTTTTGGTGACTCTACCCTTCTGCTAATAAGTTCCCCCAAATTCTTACACCCTATACCATCAAAGTGGGAATCAGTATTTCTACATAGGATTTTGGAAGGACCCATTCAGTCCACTGGAAAACCATCAAGATGACTTCCCTTCTGCTTCCCTTCCCACCAATGTGACAAAAAGCATCTTTGCCTACTCTTCCGTTGTGCCCTTCCCCTCCTTACTTAATTGCCATGGCAGTTAACTTGGTTTTCCCACACTTTAAGTTCCATAAAAACAGAGCTCCTGTTTTATACACTAACTTTTGGAAAATGCTTGATACAAAGTAGTCATGTAACAGATATTTGTTGAATAAATAAGATAAGCAAGAATTATTTTTTTCACTGTCTTCAAAGAATGAATAGGACTTTGGATACTTGGGGGAGGATAAAAGCGCTTTGTAGAAAGATAACACCAGCCAAAAATTTGTTAATATAAATTGATACTAATTCCTGTTTGTCTAAAAGATGTCTAGCAGCAATAGAATGGAGTAGGCTTAGCTTGGCAGCTACAAGCTAAAAATTACCTAGAGCAATGTCTTTGATTGACTTAGTGGGGACCTATAATATGAGATCTGTAAGTATGTTCAGGAATCGTATATAGACATTGTAATAAAAATATAACTCACCTCTTCACCGAGAGAGAAATTTTCTTTATTCCTTTTTTTTCTTTTTCTTTCTTTCATTTTTGTTTTTGAGACAGGGTTTCCCTGTGTAGTTCTGGCTGTTCTGGAACTCACCATTTAGTCCAGGCTGACCTTTAACTTACAGGTAGAACTTACTTCTACCTTCCAAGTGCTGGGATTAAGGCATGTGCTGCCATACCCAGCTAAATTTTTTTCTTGAAATAGGACTGTGAATTTTCTTTTTGAGACAGGGTCTTTCTGTATAGTCCAGGATTGCCTGGAACGCATGATCCCCCTGCCTCAGCCTACCAAGTGCTAGGATTCTTTAATGGACCTCCACATCCAGTGATCTATTATTCTTTGTGGTAGGCACTATTAATTGCCCACATAAGCATAAAGAAAACACACATATTTTTCTCCAGCTAAAGTACAGGCACATGATATAATCTGAAGCAATAAGAAATGAAGAAGGTGACCTAGAGGGTTTTGAGAAAAAAGTTTATTCCTTAATGAAAAGGTACAGTTGAAGAAAACCTGCTTTTTTTTCTGCCTTTGGATGTGACTGTTAAAGAACACAGTAGTTATGGTTAATACAGATCTTGTGAACATTCATGTATAACTCTGAATGTAAAACATCAATCCACTGATGACAGCTTATCAGGGAGGCCAGAAGCATTGTGAGCCAATGTATCAACTCTGGAACTTACCTTTCTCTGGATTCTTTTTAGTAAAAAATAATACATGTCCTTATACTTAATGTCTTTATGATATACAAATACCTTACATTTCTTTGTATTGTGTGAGATAAAATTGTCATCTTCAGATTCTCAAAGTCCTAACACAGTTTCTTGAATGTTATGTCCATGATATTGTATACATACCTATAACATAGTAGTAGTTATAAAGATGGAACTGCCTTTTCCTGTTTAATACTCCCTAAAAAAATTTATGGCTCTTATAGAGACAGGAAATCAATAGAAAGAGAAAAATTTCCAGGTAAAAGGACTGAAACCATATTGTTCATATTTGAAACAAATAATAGCTCTGACAGGAATTCAAATTCCATCAAATGTGATGGCCTTCCAACCCACTCTACAGGTTATTATAATCATTCCTAAAAATAACAGTGGTTCAATAAATAGCATAAAGGTGAAGAATGCTCAATAACTCAAGGAGACCAATTAAAAGTACAATTAATATATAAAATATGTCTAAGTTGTCCATTTCAATAGGAACATACCAATAAAAACTCAGGGTACCTCATATTAAAACCTTTTGTCAATAATTAGCATGCATGAGGCCCTGTATTCAACCCCTAGCATCAAAACAAACAAACAAAAGCCCCATGGAGGGAAAGCAAACAACTTTTTCAAATATATTGGCCTGCAGAGTAACCTATAACTAGGTACCACGAGAGAAGACTAATGATTATTTAGTGGGAGTTGGAGAGCTGGGCTCAGCAGTTAAGAGCACTGACTGCTCTTCCAAAGGACCTGGGTCCAATTCTCAGCACCCACATGGCAGCTCACAACAGTCTGTAATTTCAGTTCCAAGGTATCTGGTGCCCTCTTCTGGCCTCCCTAGGCATGAGGCATGCAAGTGGTGCACAGATACATGTGTACCAAATTTTACCCATAGACATAAAATAAACAAGTTTTAAAAACATTTTAAAAGATTATTTAGTCAAAGTGGAGGTAAGGGTGATAGAACTTAAATGGACTGATCTTTCCTGTAATTACAGCCAACTCGCAGCTAAGAAGATATTTCTGCTACAGATTGATCTACAGAATCTATTTTTGATATTTCAATTTTATTCTGTTCATGTGATTCATGGACATGTTATGAATAATGTGGTTTTTCAAGCCTAAGAAGTGAGGCGTTGCTTCCAGGTTTTGCCATTTTGGCAAGGAAAGAACTTGCTCCTCATTATACTAGGGCCAAAATCTGTAAAACCTGACTCATTGCTGGAGCACTCCTCTCTCTGCACTCTCCCCCACAAGTAA